TGCTTGATTTTTTTTTTTTAAAAAAAGAAAATCGTTATGAATATTTTACTCAATTTTTTTTTTTTTTAAACATATAGATATAGAAAAATTCTTAATAGCTAAAATCAAATAAGTGGCATACAAAAAGCCAAAAATACAAACAAAAATTGAAAGCTAAACTTAGAGCGCAGCATCAGTACGATTAAAAAAAGATAAGAGTGAAGATTGTTTTTTGTTTTTTTCTTTTTCATATTGCCATTCTTTGTATTTTTTTTGTAATGCTCTTAACTCATTCTCATCAAACCCATGTCCTACATCGAGACTTTCTTGATATCTTATAACCTTTTTCAAGTCTTCAATAGCCTCCGTCATGGTTATTGGGGGTGGTGGTGGTTCTTCGTCATCTTCATTGTCATCATCGTCTTCACAAAATTCATCTATCACTATTTCAATAATATCCTCATCAGTTAACAAGTCCTCAGTTGCGGTTGGTTGGTCGATCATGTAAATGTATTCTTCAATATTATCTTTCAGTTTCTGGGTCATTGGGTTGGTTGCAGCAGCTGAAAGGTCATCAACTATCGTGGCAGCATTATTTATTTCAGTTGTTTCTTCTTGAGGTTCTTTCTCCAACTCACCTTCCATCTTATTTACTTTAGCCATAATTTTGGTAGTTCTCTAACAATTTCTTATGGTAGTCTCGCTCACGTCTTCCCAAGCATCAGAAATAAAATCAATAGCTTTTTTTAGGCTAAGTTTCCTGCATTTTATAAAAATTATTAGTATACTAGTATTTAACTCCTCCTATAATGAACTGACAATTCTGAAAGAAAAAAGTTTATTCTTTAAAAATTATTATTTCTTAAGGTCATGACAATTCTATACCGAATCATTAAAAAAAATTTTAAATTTTGAGTTTGTTATATCCAGAACTCATTATATGGAGTATCACATATTAAAAGAATCCATTTTAACAATTTATTTTATTTTATTTTTGAATAGGTATCTATTCAATAAAAAGTTTGTCATAAGTAATAATTGTATAAGAGTAGCCAAGACAAAACCTGTAAGCAAATTTTGAGGTATCAATAAGGCGAGTTTAACTGAGAAAATTATGTATTAAATCATTGCGTCATTTAACAAGACTTAGGGTCTAAGTTTTGTTAAATAATAACAAGCGCACATAATATAGAAACAACTAGAACACTGATTGTATGTGATGATTTAATACGTAATATCACAATTTTCTCAGGGTTAAA